TGTTTTTTTTTTGCTATTGATGGAACAAAGTCATCTACTTTATTATCAGTACCCTAAGAGGAGTCTGATTCTGTCAAAACTGGGTCTGTGACTGATGAACACTTTTTTTTTTCTTTTCTATTTAGCTCTTTTGTTTCTCTTTCTTCATTTGCTTTTTTTCTGTCTAAAATATGCTGTTCTTGTTTGAACAATTCACAATCAACTAAACTCATGTAATTCACAATCAACTAAACTCATGTAGCCTTTTCTTCATTCACAATCAACTAAACTCATGTAGCCTTTTCTTCATTCTCTTTGTAGTATAAGAAACATTTTGTCTTGTTCTATTGTGATTAATTTTAAAGCATCTTCATGAGCAATATCAAATAGTTCTTTGATTTCCTGAGAAAAAGTTTCTTCATTTTTTTGCTGAGTTTCTTTTTTGCAGCCTTTATTCTTTTTCAGCTTTCCGTATTTCTCAACAAGTTTTTCAACATGTGTTTTAACATGATAATGTTGCTTTTTCAGAACTCTAGTTCTTTGACAAGTCTAGAACCAGATCTGTCACAAGGCTTGCACTTTCTCTTACATTGTTGTTATTTTTTAAAGAAAAAATAAGTTTGCGAAACTTGTCTTTTAGATAGCAACCTTTGCCCTGTGATCACAGCTGTAGCTTGACCAACACACCATACTTCATTTTGACTTCTAGCCTCCATTATAAATCGACTTCAAAAATGTCTATTGAATTATGTGTTTTTAAAATGTATTTTCATTCAAGACAATGAACTCAATTGGAACTATAGGATGATGCACTAATTTTGACAGTAGTACAATACTGATGCAATAACTTAAGTGGATGGTGAAGTATTACAGTGGGTTTTGTGAATTCCAGCCAACTTGTTTTATTTTTAATTTATTAATTTTCTAAAAAAGATGATAAAGTGTACTATGCATAATGACTCATAAGATTAGGAAATAATAAAATATTGATAATATTCTCAATATAATTAGCAGAATAGATGAAAAGATGAGAAATATGAAAAATTGTGTGTTCGAGCAATCTTTCAAAATTAAAAAAACTGGCTGAGCAACCCCTAAACATTAACATATGCATCAAAAGTTTTCCAATATCATTTTTTCATTAAATGGAACCAAATAAAAGGTTAAGAGCATAAGAAAGAAAAAATAATATTTTTTTCAATGCATTTATTTATCACCCGAATGTGTAAGCATCAGTCGAGAGGGGCTTCAGTATAAAAAGGAATATGGTTAGTGAAACATGAAAGAAAAGTCATTTTTCTCTTGTCAAAAAAAGGATTTTATGATATCTAACAAATTGAAGGCTCGTCAAGTAGAAATCAACAGTAAAATGATAAGGGCTATTTTTTAACGCCTTTATCATTTTACCATTTATCATTATCATTTAATTTTGATATTTTTTTAACGCTTTGTTAAAATTTAAGACCTAGAAGAAAATAGAAAGTTGCAAGAAAAAGAAAAAATTAATGCTTTTTAACTCCAAAACCTTAGTCTCAGTGAAGAAAAAGAAAAAATGTGATAATGCTTTTTGTAACCATAATGAATCAAAAAGACATTCTCTATATTTAGTATTAGTTTTTATATTTATATTTAGTGTTAGTTTATATTTATATTTAGTATTAGTTTTTATATTTATTTCAAAGACCATTTTGCTAAATTAAGCTGTCTTTTTTTTAAAAATGGTATGTGATTGTACAAAGTGTTTGTTTTTTTTTTTTTTTTTTTTATCTAACAAATTATTGGTTTTCAAATAAAACAGAAATATAAAATTCCTTTGAATATGGAAAGACAAATTTTGACATTCTATATTTTGTATAAAAATCTGTTTTCTTTGGAGAGTAAAAATAGAGTGTCTATGGATGTCCAAGTTTTAAGGCTAAGTGTTTGAATGATAAAAATATCAGGGCGATTTAAACAAAAATTTAATTTAAAAATCTGAAAAATTGGAAAATTTTGTTCCAGAATTATAGTGGCAACCCTGAATAAAAGAAATATCATTTCAACTTATAAATAAAATATTTTCTATGTAAAGTATAATCATAGTTAATCATCACAAGAAAAATATAAAATAAAAAGTATATAATTTTTATAATTGTAGTTGTAATTATGGCTTATTTTTTAAATTGTTATAGTGAGTTTAAGTACTGCCTTAATATATTTTGCACACTTTAAGCTTAAATGTTGGCTTTAATCCAGACAGTATTCCTGATTTAAAAAAAAAAAAGCAAAAAAATAATGAAAGAAAGCTGATTTAGGTTCCCTATAATATCTGCTCAAACCTAAATAGGTTTCTGTCCAATGGTGTCTAAACTTCAAACCTCTTGTTAAAAATTACCAAGCGCCATTGATTAACAGATGATCTTTTGCCCATTATACTCTCTTACCTCAGTTTGTTTCACTGATAAATGGCTTCTTGCATGCAAAATATGATTTAAACTCTCCAGACTCAGTAATACATTGACGAACGGCTTTAATTGACACAGGAGTAGTTAAGTTTATTGATGCTATGATTTCTGATCAGGTTACAAACCAATCTTTTAGGACTTCATTGATAATACGTTGATCGCCACTTGCATCAGTCTTTCGCTTTCAACCAGAGTCTTTATTTCTTTCTATACTATCAGTAGCTGCAAAATTTTTCCAAATGGCATAAAGAGATTAAAGAAATTAGCAAAATTTTTGCAAGTTCAGTGAACAACATTTCAGCTGATTTAAGGCCACATAAAAATGTCTTTCTCAGCAGAAATTAATACATGCCTTCTTTTCTCCTTTACAATAAAAACTTCAGGTGCCATTGGTGCAGCTTTGGCAGGAATCAGAATTAGACAAGCTTTCATCTCTAAAAATATTTTTTTTAATAGTTAGTTGGGGGAACATGAAACTTTAATATATGTCCATTTATATACATTTTATGTATATTATTGTACACATATTATGTACATTTCTTAAGCTATTTGCTTTTATTAAAACAAACAAATATTTAAAATAGGAAATATTCTTATGAAGACTGATTATTCATACAAACTTGTACATATATAAATTATAGCATTTTTCAAGAAGAATTTGAATTTGCTATTAACTTATTCCAAATCATCAATTTAAATTCATTAATCAAATAAAATTATGGCTTATTTTTTAAATTGTTATAGTGAGTTTAAGTACTGCCTTAATATATTTTGCACACTTTAAGCTTAAATGTTGGCTTTAATCCAGACAGTATTCCTGATTTAAAAAAAAAAAGCAAAAAAATAATGAAAGAAAGCTGATTTAGGTTCCCTATAATATCTGCTCAAACCTAAATAGGTTTCTGTCCAATGGTGTCTAAACTTCAAACCTCTTGTTAAAAATTACCAAGCGCCATTGATTAACAGATGATCTTTTGCCCATTATACTCTCTTACCTCAGTTTGTTTCACTGATAAATGGCTTCTTGCATGCAAAATATGATTTAAACTCTCCAGACTCAGTAATACATTGACGAACGGCTTTAATTGACACAGGAGTAGTTAAGTTTATTGATGCTATGATTTCTGATCAGGTTACAAACCAATCTTTTAGGACTTCATTGATAATACGTTGATCGCCACTTGCATCAGTCTTTCGCTTTCAACCAGAGTCTTTATTTCTTTCTATACTATCAGTAGCTGCAAAATTTTTCCAAATGGCATAAAGAGATTAAAGAAATTAGCAAAATTTTTGCAAGTTCAGTGAACAACATTTCAGCTGATTTAAGGCCACATAAAAATGTCTTTCTCAGCAGAAATTAATACATGCCTTCTTTTCTCCTTTACAATAAAAACTTCAGGTGCCATTGGTGCAGCTTTGGCAGGAATCAGAATTAGACAAGCTTTCATCTCTAAAAATATTTTTTTTAATAGTTAGTTGGGGGAACATGAAACTTTAATATATGTCCATTTATATACATTTTATGTATATTATTGTACACATATTATGTACATTTCTTAAGCTATTTGCTTTTATTAAAACAAACAAATATTTAAAATAGGAAATATTCTTATGAAGACTGATTATTCATACAAACTTGTACATATATAAATTATAGCATTTTTCAAGAAGAATTTGAATTTGCTATTAACTTATTCCAAATCATCAATTTAAATTCATTAATCAAATAAAAAGCGTTATTTTATAAAAAAAAAATGCATTGCTTTGTGCATCACAAAAAAATGTTGTTGATAACAATTAAATTGTACTGAGCTTTTCACTCTTTTATTACCATTAGTTTAAAAGATCAAGTATGCATTTTTTTTTGTCTCTTTACATCAACATTTTTTCTTACATTCTATGTAAAGAGGTTATAATTTATTAATGAAATTTTTTGGCTTTAAACTTTTATATGATAAAGTTTTATAACACATGCTATAATTATTTTTATATATTATATATATTTGTAGACATTTTTCTTGCATTTACATTGTTTTCAAGCGATATTTGATGTTTATAACTGATGAAGTGTTTATTATCTTTCAGATAATAAATAAGTAAGCAAAATTTATTTTGCAATATGTAACTTGTGTTTTAATTTTTTTTTCTTTTAATTGTAGCTTTTTTATTAAGATATTTTAAACCTAAATACAGTTTGCACAGCTTCTTTTTTTTTTGATCTTTTAAAGCATGTTTTAATGGATGTTTTTCCTTTAAAGATTTTCAAGGTTGTTATTTTAAAGTGATTATGAGCTGACTGAATTTTGTGTTTTAAACTAATTATGTTATTTTTAATAATTATATTATTTTATTATGATATTTTTCCCCTTGATCAATAATCATATATATATATTTTTTTTCTTTTGTATTTAAATGAGTTTTTTTTTTTTGTTGTTTTTGATTTGATATTTATCTCACTACTTTTTGATATTTATGTCACATCAAGAATGCGTATTTAGGTCACATCGAAAATGTATAACTTATAATGCTTTTTAATTTTTATGATTTACATAAAACGATTGCTTTTTTATTTTTTAGGAAGATAAGCAAGGATCCTCATTTGAACCAAAAGAATGGACATTTATCATACTTGATGTTAGTTATTTTATATATTTACTTTAATAAACTCTCTCTCTCATTCTCTTGGAGAAACATCTTTTTAAATTACGTTATTTTTAGAAATACCCTTGTGTATATATATATATATATATATATATATATATATATATATATATATATATATATATATATATATATATATATATATTTATATATATATATATATATATTATATATATATATATATATATGTATATATATATATATATATATATATATATATATATATATATATATATATATATATATATATATATATATATATATATATATATATATATATATATATATATATATAGTGTTACCTTATTTAGGAATCTTCTGGACGAAGAAAGCCTTTAGCTCAAGGTTCAATTGATATGGCTAAATTTTACAGCATTGAACCTTCATCCAAACAAATGACCATAAAAATGAAATCTTGCAGCAGTAAAATTTCTCAAGCACAAATTGACATTGGGCTTTCTTGTATTTTCTTAAGAGAAGGAAAAGCAACGTAATTGAATATATAATTATATATTTTCCATTATATGTATGTATATATATATATATATATATATATATATATATATATATATATATATATATATATATATATATATATATATATATATATATTTGTATATTTTATCACTTTGAGGGACAGATTTTACAAAAAATGAACACTTACGGGGACATTAGCATTATTGGGGACATTTTAGTGTACCCATTAGTTTTTTGTCCCTGTAAGTATTATTTTTTTTGTAAAAAAATGTACCCATAGGGAACTTTTATAGAGAATGAAAAGTACATACATCGACTATCAAATGACTTGCAAGGGAGTGCTGTTACATCGACTGAGGGTTTGGTTAGGCCAGGCATCAAGGTGAGGCTTAGGGTTAGGGTTACAGCAAGGTTTAAATTTGGTTATATCATTGTAATTAATGCATGGTAGTCAGAAAGTTTTTCCCATAAACTGTAGTTTTAAAGAGCGCGTTAATGAACCAGACCAGAAAAAGTTTAAAAACTTAAATATTTTTTTTTTTTTTCAAATGATAGACTGCTTACCCAAACCAAACCCTCAGTCGATGTAGCAGCGCTCCATTGCGAGTCAGGCTATAAGATAGTCGATGTAGCAACACTCCGTTGCGAATCAGGCTATAAGATGTAGATGTAGTTGATGTAGCAACACTCTCTTGTAAAAGCAGGCTAAATATATATATATATATATATATATATATATATATATATATATATATATATATATATATATATATATATATATATATATATATATATTTAAAGTTGGAAATCTGTACCCATTTTGGTGAATAAAAAAACCCACATCTCTTAAATAAAGATAAGATGTTGTTTTATATATATATATATATATATATATATATATATATATATATATATATATATATATATATATATATATATATATATATATATATATATATATATATATATATATATATATATATATATATATATATATATATATATATATATATATATATATATAGTAAATGAACAACACCTTATCGTAATTAAAGAGATGTGGGTTTTTTATTCACCAAAATGGGTTCAGATTTACAACTTTAAAAAGATTGTTGATATAATAACAAAGAACAAAATCAGTATTGTTTAATTTGAAGATTCAATCAATAACAATTTTATGAAATTTACTTTTTACTTTAATTAAATAAAGCTATAAATGTTTGTGTAAATAAAAGTTTATTTGAATAGAAAAACTTTCATAAAAAAATTTCCCAAAACTGACGTTTTTCTTTTATCATTTTAAATCACATTTTAAATCAAATACTAAAATGTTTGATTTATTCTTAACACTTTGTGCAATATGGTGGAACTTAGAACATGGATAATTTGTGGAATAAATTGTAAAAATATTCAAAACATTGGAATTAATGTTTCACTTTTAACCATAGAATGCTGTGATATAATTTCGTATTGTTTTAATAACTAATTTAAATTAATATTATTTTTTTTATTAGAGATGAAGATATGCTCAGTGTAGCAAGCATGATGAGTTTAAATGAAGCAGAAAATTTTAATTTTGATGTTGACCATCATGTACCAAGTTTATTAAATAGCAGCTTAAGGAGAAGTGGGAAATGGAGCAAGCGTTCAAGCACAAAATCTAACTCTAGACCTGGTTCATTGATTGGTGACTCAAGTATTTAAAATTTTTTTTAAATTAAAATCTGATTTATAACTTATTTGTATAATAAATATATTAGTAAAATCAATCTATTTTTATTTATGTAACTCACAGACTAATGTGTCATATATATCGTAGGGTGTTTTTATAAGTCCAATTATTTTGAGATTTTTTTTTTATCAGATTCGTCTGTATATCTTAGCTGTGATAGTGGTTGTATTTCAAATGTTTCAAATGCTTCGTCAGAAGTTTTTTTCACACCTAAAAAGTGTGCAAGGTAATTAATAGAATTTATAAAAAAATATTGCATAAAATTTCTTTCATACTTGTATTATTTCCCAAATGAAAAATATAGGTTATATAAATTTAAATAAGGTCTAGATAGAGGTTTTTATACATATCACTAAAAATATGGAAACTAACAAGTCTTATAAAAAAAAGACCAAAAAAACTTTTTAATAAATTGCATTACTAGTTTACAAAATTTAATTAGAATAATGACATTTTCACCAACAAGATCTGGTATCTAATCAAAATTTTCTAAACTAAAAGACCTAAAATTCCATAATCTTCTAATGTTTTTAAAGTTGTCTTTTTGTATTCGATTTTCTCCTAAATAAACTTCTCCTAAATAAAATTCTCCTAAATAAACTTCTCCTAAATAAACTTCTCTTAAATAAACTTTCCTAAATAAACTTCTTCTAAATAAACTTCTCCTTAATAAACTTCTCCTAAATAAACTTCTCCTAAACAAACTTCTCCTAAATAAACTTCTCCTAAATAAACTTCTCCTAAATAAACTTCCCCTAAATAAACTTCCCCTAAATAAACCTCTCCTAAATAAACTTCTTCTAAATAAACTTCTCCTAAATAAACTTCTCCTAAATAAACTTCTCCTAAATAAACTTCCCCTAAATAAACCTCTCCTAAATAAACTTCTCCTAAATAAACTTCCCCTAAATAAACCTCTCCTAAATAAACTTCTCCTAAATAAACTTCTCCTAAATAAACTTCTCCTAAGTAAACTTCTCCTAAATAAACTTCTTCTAAATAAACTTCTCCTAAATAAACTTCTCCTAAATAAACTTCTCCTAAATAAACTTCTTCTAAATAAACTTCTCCTAAATAAACTTCCCCTAAATAAACTTCTCCTAAATAAACTCCCAAATTAATTTCATTAAATTAAATACATAAACATCGCAAATACAGAAGATGGTGAGCAATACTTTTCTTTTTATAATACAATTTTATCTGGTAAGTTTTAAAACACCAATATATAAAATAAGTATGCTATGAATAAAATACATAATATATTATCTATATGCTTATGTAACTCCAAATGGAACCAGTAAATTTCTGCAATAAGAAAAAGGTCTAAGCTATCTAAAAGAGAAAGAGAAGAAAATGAGTATAAGCTTGAGCTAACAAGTTATAAAATAAGTAATAAAGTTAGTCAACAAAAAGATTCAAGTTGTCAAAAGTTTTGACAAACAAGTTATAAAACAAGTAACAAAGTCAACAAAGAGGTTTAAGTAGTTAAAACTTTACAAACAGCAAGTAGGTTTGGTTATTTTTGCATTAGATATTACTTTAAAGACGATGAATATTTGGAAAAGATAATTTAATAATAAGTAATTTGAGCGTTATGATTTTTTTATGTTTAATATTTTTGGGTAGTCATCATTTAAGTTATTAAAACACACTTAACTTAAATATAAGTTGTACGTGTCACTAACCAATAAGCTGTGTTGTTGGATTCTGTTAATCAACCCAAAGTTGTAACAACTATGGACACCACCCATCCACAAGATGTTTAGTTAGTAAAAATATTTTATAACTGTTGATGGAATCAACTTTTTTTGAAAGCTACCACAGAGTTTGGAAAACCTTAATATCAATTATTCTCAGAACTTGTTATATTTATGTCAAAGTGACATAAAAATCAGAAGAGTTGCATACATAAATATCAGAAGAGTTGCATACATAAATATCAGAAGAGTTGCATACATAAATATCAGAAGAGTTGCATACATAAATATCAGAAGAGTTGCATACATAAATATCAGAAGAATTGCATAGCCATACAAAGAAGGCACTATAAACAACTGTGATTCAATTTAAGAAGATCTTTCATATTATTATCATTGACATGAAACAACGTGACAAAGGTTAGTATCTAACCTTTTAGATGGAATAGGGGTGCAAGCCTTTTCAGTAAAATTTTCTGCTTATCCTCAAAGTCTTTGTCTAAGAGGTCTTTTACCAGACAGTAGCTAGATGCAATTTACATCTGTCCAAGATGAATATTTCTATTAAGAAATCATATTAAGCCTTCACTTAACCAGGAGGCTCAAAAGTAGCATGGAGGTATTACATAGTTTTAAGCATTAAAATTTGTTAAAAGTTTTAAATAAAGAAAAAGATAATAATTTTGTTGCTTTTTCTATTCTTTAATTATTTTTTCTAATTTATTAGTTCAAACAGTCCATCAACAAAACATTCAACACCAAATCAAAGTCCTAAAGAAACTGATAAAGTAATTCTATTTGCTTTACACAATATTTATTCATATTTTACCAGTTTAAAAAGTATAAAAGTTGTTATTATTATATATTTTTTGATTTAATTATTTAATTAAAATATATATTTTTTAATTATTTGCTTTTGTTTTTTTAGAATAAAAAAAATGGACCAGATTCAGAGTTGCTGAGTATTTTAATTTTAAAAATATATAATTTAAAATATATAATTGTTATATAAATACATCATTATAGTAATATTTATGCTTGATTGAAATATAATAGGTTTCTTTTTTATATAAGATTGTCATCATCATCATCATCATCATCATCATCATCATCATCATCATCATCATCATCATCATCATCACCACCATCATCATTTTTTTCATTATTGTCATTATCATTTTCATCAATGGTATTTTTATTTTTTACTCACAGTTATTTAATTTTTATATACATTTTTTATTTATATTAATATATTTTTATTTATCTGTATATTTTTCATAACTTCAATTAAATTTTTACACTTTTACATAGAATGGTCTCAGCAAATTACAGCAAACTACAAAGATGTCCATGTCACAGATATGACAACCTCATGGCGAAATGGATTGGCTTTTTGCGCTATATTACATCATTATCATCCAGAACTAGTGTATGATTTTTCAATTTTTTTTTTACAATATATATTTTTATTTTTTTTAAATTATATTCCATTTTGTTTAAAGAGTTTTACAAAAGTTTCAAAGAAAAGTTAAAAAAATTTTTAAAAGTATAAAGGTTGAAAAAGTTTTAACGAAAAGTTAAAAATAGTTTCAAAGAAAATTTTATTATTTTATTAACAAATTTTTTATTCAGCCAATTATTAATCCAATACTTTTCTACCTATTGTCAATCAAATATTGTAAATATTTACAAAATGAACAATTTGGTTATTATCAAGAAATGTTTACATTGCAAATATTTTGTACTTTTTTTTTTTTTACTAAATTGTAAATTAATAGCATACACGTGTACATAAATAATACTTGAAAACCTATTTGAAAAAACATTTGAAAGCTTATATGAAAACATATTTTAAAAAACTTAATTTCTATACTTATATTTTTATTTTGAAAAAATTTATTATTTATTATTTTTATTATGAATTTATTATTATTATGAAATTTTCTGTAATGTTTTTTTATATATATATTAATATTTATTATTTCTGTGGAGAATAAATTACATAATTATAAATAAACTACAAACAAGATGTTATGTTAATCTTTATAAAAATTATTTTCCATTGTCCACTTTACATTGTTTACTTTGTATAAGTATAATTATATTTTGTATCAGCTGTAGTCATTCATTTTTTCAACTGTATCAGATTATTCTCAAATACAACCACTTTATTTAAAAACAGGTTATTGTTATTTTTATATTTATATATTTTTGTTAAGTTTAAAATGTTTTTATCACTGTCCTTCTAGACTAATCCATTTTTTAAGCTGGTTATCTTGGTTTAATTAATCCACTTAAAATATTTTGCTGTTTTTAATTATTGTTTTTATGCTGCTTTATTTGTTGTCAAATAACGTGATTTATTAACAATATCTATTATTGTTTTTATATTATTGTTGTTATTATTACATTATATTATTGTTTATAGGTATCTACTCTGTTAAGAAATTTTAAAATTGTGTTTTTGTTATGTCATGTTAATGTGATCTTTAAATTTCTTTTAAACTTTTTCATAGTATAAAGTTCTAAATTAATCCAATTATGCACTATATTGTGTTTGGTTAAGTTTTCATATTTTTCATGTTGTCTAACAAATCTTTTATGGAAAGGAGAAGTTTTTTTTATATATAAGTATTTTCTAACGGTTTTTTGCTTTTTGTTTGCTTTTGTTAGTAAAAAAAATATTTGAAAGAAAGTTTTATTTTTAAATACTTTGTTTGTAGAGATTTTTCAAGTTTATCACCACAAAATATTTCGTACAATAACAAGTTGGTATGTTTTAAAATTTTTTTAATTGACTTCTAAATTAAAGATTTGTTTTGAAAAATTTATAGTTTTTTTTTTAAATTTTTTTTTAAATATTACCTCAACTAAGCCCTAAAAAGCCAAAACACAATAATTTGAAAAATTATTGTAGCATATACAGTAGTTCTGCACAGTTTCACATGATTTTTTACAATTTCATTTTTCACAGTAACTCTTGCCCATATTTGTAAACTATATTTGTAAAACCAAAACATAGAAAGCACAGTGTTTTTTTAAAAACAGTTTTAACTACTTCTACTTATTTTGTATTTTAAATATATTTAATAAAATAAATTTTATTAAATGTATTTAAAACCATCTACTACATGGATACACATGGATTTACTGTGTTGGATATACTTACACATGGATATACTGTGTTGGCTATTGTGATATATTATTATAATTATTATGATTGTTAGAATTATTATAACTGTTATGGTTATTATAGTTATTATAATTATTATAGTTGTTAAAATTAGGCTTTTGATGGTTTTGAATATCTTGGGATCCCTAAGATTCTTGATCACAATGATATGGTAAGAACAAATACTCCAGACAAATTAACTGTGATGACATATGTCCATCAAATAAAAGAACATTTTGAAAATAAAACCAAATCAAGCATTTGCTCATTAGTTTCTCAGTATAAGTTTATTACTCACGACGAAGATATGTTTCCGACTCTATCTTTCAACACTCGATCAACACAAAAAGCAGATCAAAAAAAAAAGAAGCAATCAAAAAAATCTAAAACAGATGTCTCTCCAAGGAAAGCTGAAATCGATAGCGTAACAGATGAACATGAAGTTAATTCTATTTTTGAGCAATTAAGACTTTCTGAAAGTCGCATGGAAGTTCAAAAAATAACTAAGCAAATGAATGAGTTCCAGGCTCCAAGACCTAATCTATGTAAAAATATATCTGAAAGTATTGATGAAGATGAAGCTCTTAATTCTGTTATCGGTGATAATGTGAAATCTGAAGAAATGGTAATTTATTTTTAATATTAATTTTCATATAATTCTATATAATATAAGCTAAATTTTCTGTTATTCTAACTGTAATTTTATTCAATTTGTTTAATGTTGTATTTTTATTCAATTGTCATAATGTTCTTTTTATTTTTATTAATCATATTTTATATTTTTGTTTATCAGTACTTAATAAAGAATTTTACGCTTTATTTTTTATGCTTTATTGTTTATGTGCTTTGTCTATTTTTGCTTTTCTATTAATCTTTATTTTTGTCAAGACTAAATTTGCTTTGTTTAAAAACTGATTCTCATTTATCATTATTTAATTTTTTCCTCAGGCATTCACTGCTTGTGTGCGATATTTTGGCAAATTTATATGCCATAACTTTAGATTAATTTACTCTTTTATCTTATTCATTTGTCATTTTGTTATTAGTATTTTGTTCTGCTATGAATTATTTCTTGAAATTTACAAATATTTATGTTACAGATAAATATTTTCTTGATATTGACTGATTTTTTTGTTACAGACAAATTAAAAGTTATTTTTATGTATTTGAATGATCACTCACATAACAAACTATTAATTTTTACTGTTGCCACGACAATCATAAAGTTGGACTTTTTCAGTAGTTCAAGACCATTGTTTGAAAGATCACTTTTTAGGTATACAAGGTGTTCTCAAACTATTTTTTACAAAGTCTAAAGAACTTAATATATATTTTTTTGTTTTATAAAATAAAAAACTTTTTGAAAATCTCAAAACCTCTAAAGGATTTTATTTTGTTCTTCTTTTGTCTCACTGAGCACATTTATAAGCAAAATTTTCTATAAAATTTGCCAATTATGGGCAAAAATATGGTGTAAGCTTTGTGGCACATGATACCAGAGGTATAGTTTTACATACTGTTCAGCTGTTTTATAACAGTATTCTCTTAAAAGTGAAGAATCATATATCATACTATCACCGAGTTAAAGAATTTCTGCATTCTTGTTTGCATTTTTTTTTTTTTTACATTAATGTTCTTATTTCAATATTGTAAAATAAAAGGTTAAATAAAAAAATTATGCTTTCTTTCTAAACTGTTGCCTGTTTATATATTTTCTGGTTAATTGATATATCAAACCAAATTTTTGAATGTTTGATTTTAAAGATTGTTTAAAGAATCGTTACTGCATATTACTTATATTACTAATATCTGCAATTATATTATGTATATGAAGTTTTATATTTACTGCATATTACTTATATTAGGTATATATTACTAATTACTAATATCTGCAATTATATAATGTATATGAGTGACTAATGGTTGAATGTTTATTTTCTAAGAAAAATTAGTAGCAGTTTATAATATTAGTTTGGGAAGAGATTGTTTCTTAGCAACACAAACATTATATACAGGATAGAGTTTGTTACCTTTACTAACATTCTTTATCAAATGTTGGTACTCAAAATTACTCACATAGTTATCTAAAATGTGTGCTGTGGCTTTATTTAGAGTGTTTTAAACAAGTTTGATTTGAAAAGTTGAAAAAGAAATTTAAATTTTAAATTTTTAAAATTTAAAGTGTTTTTTTTTGTTGCTTAATAAAGCTTATTTTTATTTTCTTTGCATCTCCATATGTCTATTATTTTTTGTTTCTATCTGTATCTCTCTGATTTTTGTTAAAGAATAATTTTAGGTACAAATATAGCATTGTTATTCATAATTGTTTTTGATTGGTTGATTTTGAAATGTTATTTTTAAAAGACTTTTGCTCAAAATCTCTTTACATAAAAATATTTTAAGTTTTAAAGTATTTTTACAATTAGTATTAAGATTACATTCTCTTATATAATCTATTTGTTTGTGTGTTATTTAATACTTGAGCATTTTAAAAGTCATGATCTGTGTGTTCTCATAAAAGTCTTAACTACTTACAAAACACCTATTTTAGAATATTGTTCTCCATTCTGGGCACTAAACTGCACTGATTAGATTTGGTGTGTTGAAAAATAAATGTTTACTAATTGGAACCTTTGAAACTCCAGATTATAACCCAGTTTTCTTTCTAAAATTTAATCCAACACTATATAATAGTTTATTTTTGTTGTATTTATTAAAATTTTTTTATTTCTTAAAATATTTATTAAAATTTTTTTATTTCTTTTATTGCAGGCTGTTTTATTATTGTATACTTAAGTTATTTATTAGTTCAAAATTTTTTAATATTACTAGAATCTTCTGCAAATAAATAAAAAAATTTTAATATAGATTCAAGAATCTTCTGCAGATAAATGTCAAACAGTAGTTGAAGCAAAAAACACAGATATTGTAGATAGTGTTCCTTCTGAAGATCAATTTTCTCCCATTTCTGATAATGTTTTTGAATCAAAACCTAAACGCAAACTCTCTTTAACTGCTGAGTTAGGGCAGAGTCCAATATATGAAAACAAGGAAAATTTTCAGAGTTTGTTGTTAAGTCAAGATTTTTCAGGTGATAATATAAGCACCTTGAGTGATATAAATTCTTCTGAACTAATAAACAAAAGCTCAACTTCTGATGCAGAAAATGTCATCAATGAAAACACTCAAGTTAAATCAAGCAGTGGTAGTAGTTGCTCCCAAAAATTCAATGAGCCTCTATTTACTCCAGAAAAAGTATGACATCTATTTTGCTTCTATAATAATAAGATATGCATTTTAAAAGAGAATAATTTTTTGGTTCAAGTTACTTTTCTTTTTGCATTCTTAGAATAAGCAAGAAATCATTCAAGAAAGAGCTCGTCAACTTATCAGAGAAGCTCGTCTCAAAGCTAAACACCAAGAAGCTGTGACAGTAAGGTCCTTAAAAAACTTGAAATTCATGCCCACAATGTTAAACTTTTTACTTTTTATTCTATATTTATTAGTTTTTTTTAATTTTTAGTAATTAAGTTTTTTTATATTATTATTATATATAGTACATAGTTATTTTATATTATTGGTAAACAATATAAGTTCATATTTTACAGGAATTTAAAAATTCATGTGCAACAAAAGGAGTGTGATAGTTGCATTGTTTCTGTATCTTTTTGTTACATTATTTGATATTATTTGAAACAGAATCTTTTTTTTTTTAGAGTGAAAAATCTGAAACAGAGGAGGAGGTTATAGCTAGAGCAAAAAGTTTCATTGAGGCTCAGAAAAGAAAAGAAGAAATCCTTCAGCAAAAACTTAATACTGTATTAATTTTTTATCATGTAAAATTGTGTGTATATATATATATATATATATATATATATATATATATATATATATATATATATATATATATATATATATATATATATATATATATATATATATATGTATGTATGTATGTATGTATGTATGTATGTATGTATGTATATATATATATATATATATATATATATATATATATATATATATATATATATATAAACACACACACAAACATCAACTCATAAATACAAAGTAACATTATTTATAGGAAGAGGATCGTAAATCACTGCTTCGATCTAAAGCAACACATTTGCTTGAACAAGCAAAACTAAGAGGCTCGTTAACTAACATTGATCGTAGCTGTAGTCCTAGTAGTGTAGATGCTGAAGGCACAAAAAACATACCTGTTGCTGCAAATAGTCAAGAAGGTAGTCAAGCAGGTAGTCAAGCAGGTAGTCAAGCTGCAGAGTTTAAAAAAAACCCATTCACCCTTGTTAAAAAGAGAAGAGTAAAGTCATTGCAGATAAAAAAAGTTGGGAAAGAAGTTGAAGAATCAAAAGGTTTAAATTAATATTCAATAATTTTTATAGATATTTTATTTTCACACCTAAACATACATGTATGTTTAAGTGTGAAAATAAAATGTGATGTATATTTGTCTCCATTATTACATATATTTTTGATGTCCTTATTATAGTTATACATATATTTCAATTTATAAGACCTGTTACCATAAGCACCTTTTACAAACCTAACAAGATTAATTTAATCGATTTTTTGAAACTTAGCTTATCTTAGAGGGTGTCAATTTCCAACATTTTTTGATCCCGGAAGAAGGGAATTTTAAAAATAATTTACTGGGAATAAATCCTTTTTTAAACAAATATATAAACACGAGACTAACTTTTAATAAGAAAACAGCATTCATTTTTAAAAAGGTTATTTTATTTCAAAATTGTATATACAAAATTTGTATATGTATGCATTAGGGTGGAGTGATTTAAAAAATTTTTGATACCTCTTTGGATTCTAAATTCTTGACGGGTCCTCATATTGTTGAAAATTTTTCAAAAGAAGCAGAATAGTATGCTGATTTTAAAAATAATATTTTTTTTATTTAAAAATTAAGGGAATAAAAAATAGTCATTTTTTTCTTAAAAAAGCCGTTTTTAACAAAACAATATTGCAAATATTTTTTTTGAAAAAATTTTTTATTTAATAAAATTATTAACAAAACATGTATTTTTTCTATTTTTTTGAGTCCAAGTTTGATATGGTTTAGAAAAAAAAATCAAATACATTAGGACCTGTCAAGAATTTAGAATCCAAAGAGGAACCTCAAGAGCTCATCAAAATCAGAAAATTTTTTAAGAATTTTTTCATATAATTTAATAGACATCAATTTGAGTATTTTTTTTTTTTTGTTTTTTTTTGTTTTGCTTAGAAAGTTGCTTCACCCTAGTATACATAATTAAAATTTGTAATACATATATTGAGAAAAATTAATTTTACTTGAACAAAACATATTTTAAACTTATTTGGTTAGGAAATAACTTTTTAAAATTGTGAGGCAGTATAGAGATGAGTCACTAAGTGATTATCTTTGCTTTGAGTAAAAATTAGACGACAATGAAAATACTCTCTCACTTTCTATTAAGGTTGGCTGTATGCAATTTAAGGCATCAAGCAGCTTTTTTATATTATTACTAATATTTCTGGTATTCTCATGCATTTGAAATTTTTGTTTGAGGTCTTTGTTTGAATCTTTAGTTATAACACACTTTTTAGGTTAATATGCTGCATTTATAGCAATCGCCAATCTGTCTTTAATATTTGTAACTGTTAAGCAATTATTTTCTTTAGAAGATTTACTTTCAATTCCAATATCAACATCTTCACTAAATAATCTATTAAATAAGTCATTTGCATAATGAATAATTGCAGATTTTAAAGATGATGGGAGCTCAATACTAGCAGTTGAATGTAAGTTGCGCATTTAGAGGTATTTAATCAAAGTCACAAGATCTTGATTTCTTCGCTCTTTAACACGAAAAGACAGAGCTAGCAACATCTTCTCTGAAATTGCATTATTGTTGTTACGCAGGTTATCAAACTAAAAATCTAAAAAAGCATCAGCTGTTAGCAAATTTGCATCACCTTTACTAATGCTTCTGCAGCTATTTTGATTGGTTTAAGGGTGTTGGAAACATTTTTTAAAACTGAGACATAAATATTGTTAAATAGCTCTTGGGAATTCAACTCATTTAATGCTTTTTTTTTACTGCGTCCACACTTTTAAATATCTTTCAACCATTGTCACAATGGTGTTCCATCTGGTCCGGCAATCTAGCAATAAATTGAGTTCAATTCCATGCTCTACTTTTAGATAGTCTTGTAAAATGGAATTTCTTTTAGGCAAATGTTTAAAAAACTATTTTTCTAATAATTTGTAAAGCCGCATTTATATCTTCTCTTTCACATATTTGCGGTTCAAAATTGTTTACTTTTTCATTTTCAGAGTTATCGCTGGAAAATCTAGATTCATTTTCTAAAGAATCAATGAGACAAACATTAGAATTTTCATTTCTTTTATAAATAATGTCCATTACAGCCAAGTGTATGCCCTGGTTACAACATAATTGGTGTATAAAACCAGATAATCTACCAAATTTGATCATTACTGCAGCAGCATCAGTGGTTGATGCAACAACATCTGAAGAGATAATTGCAAACTCTGATAGTTTCTCTTTTAAATAGGTCCATTGTTACTTCAGTTGTACAGCTTTTATGAATTTTAACCAGTCCTAGATTAATAAATAACTTATTGAAATGAATATTGATATTCAAATATCTTCGATTGCGTAGACTTGTCCATTCATCAAACGTTAGATTAAAATTTCCACCTTTTTCTTTATGCGATTTTATTTTAACAATAAATTCATTTTTTGTTGTAACAAAATATTCATGAATTAGTTTCATAACATTGTTTTTACCTTTTGGAAGATGATATTGTTTTTCACTTAAAGCTTGACAAATAAACTCACTTTTGCATATTCTGTGAATTGAAAGTCCATCAATGGCCGCAAGTCTGGCCACTCTGCTAAGGACTGTTTCTTAGAAAAAAATGATCTGAGAGACTTGCTTTGGAAGGGATTATCTCATAGTTACTTGAACCAGCAATTTGATTGTCATTTAAGATTCTTTTCTTGATATTAATGTTATGAACATGTTGCAAATGTCTTATTAATCCACTGGTTGACAAGCACTTACAACTTTATAATTTATTTGGACATTTCAAACACTTGGCTTGTTCTCCTACTTTTTCTTTTGAAAAATATTTCCACACTGAATCAGCTATGATTTAAATAATGTTTCGGAGATTCTAAATTAAAAAAAATTAAAAATATTAGAACAAAAAATTAGTTTTGGGGTTAAAGAATGTTAGTTGAAATTTCTTGAATAATAAATTTAATTACAATCTTTAAAGAGTAACTAGCGTTTTGTATTTGAAATTTATGTGTTTGTTTTGAATCAGATTTTAAAAGCCACTGGGGAGTTTTGTATTAGAAATAATGACTTTTATGTTTGCTTTGAATCACTTTTAATTAAAAAAATTATGATTTGATTTTTCTATATTTTAGGTGACTTCTAAAGTCAGATTATACACATTAAATAGCTTTGTGGATATCAATATATTTTTATTTTGAATAAATTATTATCCTAATATAATAAATATGTACACAAGTATTTCTTTGATATTTATTTTTTTTCAGGAAATTATGGTAATTTTCCCGGGTAATGGGAAATATGAAATGTAAAAAATTCCCAGGAATTCCCAGGAAGAACCCTCTAGCTTATCGTAGTAATTTGTGTAAAATATTCCAGAATATTTTACATGAATTTGCTGACAAAGTACTTTTTATGTGATTAAAGGGTGAATATGATATAATTATCTTTAAAAAAAACTGTAATGCTTAAACTCAATAGTTTAAGATGGTGTCATTTTCATAAATATAAATCAAGACATTGCAGTCTTTACTATTTTTTATCTAAAAGTCTATTTAGAGAATATTTGTTAAAATTCACGCAATTTATTTCACGCAAACTATTTAATTTTTCACTCTTCCATGGAGGAGTATTTGTTTGCAAATAGTTCTTTATTTACTCAAGTTGGGATTCTAATAATCCATTATCTTACTTTTAAGTACAACATTATTACAAAATATATTTATTATAGAAAAAACAAAGCTCACAACACATAAGGATGCAGCATCTTATGCTGACTCACGCAAGGTTCAGTTTGATACGTTTGGAGAAAATTGCCGCCATAAGCCTAAACGTGATGTTGGTGAGTTCTTTATTTTTCTTATTATCTATATTGTGTTTTATAAGATATAAATTATAGTGTTGTAAACATTCATTATTTTCATAAATGTTATTATTTTAATACTTTATTAAGAAAAAATAACAAGTTATAAAAAAAGATATTCATTAAAAACAAATGTACTTTTGTTTTCATCTTTGAATATTTTTAATCTCTGAAAAGCAGCCAGAATAATAGAAACTCTAAATTCAAAATTTTAGCAGCTGAAATTGCAGCAGAATTGGCAAAAATGAAGAGAGAAGAAGAACAAGAACTTAATTCAGTCGACATACATCAAGCAGATCCATCTGGAGAAGATAGTGATCAAATAGTCACAGATGAAGAAGTTGATGTTGTAAGAAATTAATTTATTCTTTGGGGTAAAATTCCTCATTATCATCATCATCATTATCATCAACATCATCATCATTGTTATCATCAGTATTTGGCTCTCAGTTTGTTATTGCAATATGGTTGTTGACAGTATTTTGGACCTTAGTTGTATTGCTTAAGGTTTTTTTTGTTAATTACTAAATGAAAGATAAAATTTTGTATTTAATAACGTATGGATAAAAAATAAATATTTTCTTTAATAATAGATCTCATAACAAGGTATAATGTTTTATCAAGTACTTTTTATATAAATATATTTTATCTCTCTCTATATTATTATACTCGATATTTAATACTTTCTGCATAATATTTTTGTTCTTGTATGCTAATGTGTGATAGTAAAACGTTTACATTGTATTCAAACTTATGCTTTTTCTCAGGCATTCACTGCTTTTGTGTGACCACTTGGCAAGTTTATGTGCCAAAGTTTTTAATTAAGTTTGTAAAGTAAAAGTTTGTAAAGGTGTTTTTAGTAGTATTTATTAAAGTTTTTTCAAACAAATTCACTCCCAACAAGACTGCAAGCAACAATTAAGTTGTTTATTAATTAAAAATTAAGTTGGAATTTATGTTTGAATTTAGAATTTGGGAGCCGCAAAAACAAAGGAAAGAGTTAAAGAGCATGATAGCAGGTGGAATGTAAACAATACAAATTGTATTACAATTTGTATTGTTTACAAATGTATTACAAATTGTATTACAAATACAGTTTGCCTGATTTGTATTATAATTGTATACAATTTACAATTGTATGAGTTAGGAAAACATGAAGACTGAAGCAAATTTTAGAACATTGATGTTCAAAAAAAAAATCTTGATGAATAAAAGCTTTTTAAACATGTCAATTAAATTAAAAGTCGCATAAGTTTTGGTTTTTGGAACAAGTGATGATAGTTCACTTGAGTAATGTTTATGGCAGTATTTGTAAAAAAGGGAAAGAGATTTAATATTATAGCAATAAGGCTGAGGCTCAAGCTTAGCAGGTAGACTAGGTCTAACAATTTTTATAATATATTTTTGAACCTTGTCTAAAAAAGAGAAAGGCTCATTAGAAGAACCATGTAAAATTTGTATCCATAAAAAATAAAATAGGAAATTCATAAAGGTAAAATGGAATCAAGAATAAGAATATAGCATTCTATATTTGTAATGGATTGTATACATATTTTCCATGAAAGGTCAATATGCCAGACCTTATAAAAAGCATTTGACATCTCAAGAACAATCTTATTCTTGACATATCAAGTAGTAGCCAAGCCAAGTGTGACTGAAGTCATCAATAACAACAATAATGGCTGAGAGATAAAGAAAAAGTGCCTATTTAATCAAAAAAACTGCTATATTGGGAAGAAAGGGAACAATAATAAAAAGAGAAAGGTGATTGAGTGAAGGCGTATTCAACCAGATGCACATAAAAGAACAATCAGAGGATTCAAACCTGATTTTACAACAGATAGGTGATTTGAAATGTAAAAATTTACTCAATGTTAAACATTTTAGTCTTTGTGAATCAAAGAATAGTTACCACCAATACCAAAATCCGAAGATGAAACAACCAAATTCAACTTAGTCTAACTTAGCCAAAGAATAAGTAGGTCTAGTGAGTTTTGCAAAATGTAAGATTTAACTGATTTACTTACTTAAGTTGAAGACTATGAATCATAATTGATTTTGCAATATCTACTGCCAGCTGGATTTGGAGTGATTAAACTGAGTTTTAGAGCTGTATTAACATTTTCTGCTATCCCTAAAGTCTTTGTCTGGGAGGCTTTCTACAAGACATCCAGATGCAGTTAAAATCTACCTAGGATAAATATTTTTATTGAGATACTATCTCTAGCCTTAACTCAATCAAAAACCTGAAGCAGGAGGTGTTTTAAGTCAGAATTAACTTCTTCTTGCCTTTGCCCAGAAAAGCAAATCCTACATCTCATTTGTTTATTATTAGGTATAAATACTTTAGGTACATGTAATTTGCATATAATCTAGTTAGATTTAGAGTGATGTAAATCATTTAAGCACTTTATAGTATACAATCAAACATATTGAAAAACAAAAAGGAATGATGTTTGTTTTTACACAAGTTATTATTTAAAATGTAGGCTTCATGTAGGCTGCTAATAAAAATGTAGGCTTCATGTAGGCTGCTAATAAAAATGTAGGCTTCATGTAGGCTGCTAATAAAAATGTAGGCTTTGTGTAGGCTGCTAATAAAAAGTTTTACATTCAAAAATTGTAAAACTTTTTGTTTTATAATTTTAAAATGATTTTATTTTTAGTGCCCTTAAAGATTTAACATTTAATAAAATTGAATTAAGATTAAACTAAAGTTATTGACTAAAAATATAAATGAAAAACCACTTAACCAGCAGTGTATATTTTAAATTAGTTTGTGTCTTTCAATAATAAACTTCATATAAATTTACTCAAAATAATTTATGCACTTTTAGCATATATGTAAATGTATATTCTATTGCTATGTATAAGATTTTCATAAATTAACTTATAACTAATGCATTTTTATCTTATGCAAAAAACGTTATTTAACAGTTTTGGATGAATAAATTTTGTGCTGACTAATGCAAAATTTATTAAAAATAAAGACTTCTTCATATTGTTAAAGTAAACACAACATTGCAATAACAAACAAAAAAGTTGAAAAATCAAACAAGTGATACTTTACTAAACAAACATGTTGCTATACAGAACATTCAGTTTGGATTATCGCACATTTGTGTGACATTTGAGAGACATCTCTTCATCATCATTATCATCATCATCATCGTTGTTTGATGTATTAGTGATACAGAAATATTTGTAGGGTAAAATTGTCTTTTTTTTAGATTTTTTATAGTTTAACCAATTTTTCTTAATTAGTTTTTTATGCTAATTCTGAAAATCATCATCATTTTTTTTCATTTTAATTATTTAGCCTTCTACTTTGATTTTAATATAAGTGAATATAATGACAAAAAAAAAAAAAAAAAGGCCTTGTTAAAAATAGATGAAATTATTATCATCATTAAATATAAGAAAGGTTTAATTCTGTTTAATTTATCAATAATATACATTATGATTTATAAGTAACAAAAAAAATAAGCATTATATATGAAAATAATTCATACAGTTTGTTATTTTTACTATTAAAAATGGAAAATAACTATAAAAGTCATCATATGTGATAGAGAATTGCTGCAGGCACTTTCCATGTAGAACATCTAGGTTATGAGCGTGTTCTTTGGTAGACATAAGATGGAGGTTTGTATTTTTATATCTGTATTTCTACAGATATGGAAAATACACCCCCATACCATGATGTAACACTTGTTGTTTTATTATATTTGTTTGTTATGTTAAGTTGTTTTATTGTTGGTACTCTGACCATAAACATGAAACATAAAGCAAATTTTTTTTAAGTCTTTATTGTATAAATCATGTATTTAAACAGAATCATGTATTTAAATTATGCATTTAAATCATGTATTTAAACAGAATAGACCTCCGCAACAATGACCTACTTGTATCCCCAAAATAAAGAACCTCATTTTTCGAACTTTTTTTAACATTTCTTTATCTACTTTAATAATGTCTAGTTCACAGCTAAATGGGCTGCCTTGTAACTTTAATCAAACTAAATAGAATTCATCTTGCACACCTGATGTAAAGTTTGCTGCTCTTATATTGTTATCCATTTGTTTTTGTAGCTGGTTTCAACTAGTTTCAACTTCTTGGACAAATAATTGGACAATAATTAGTAGTAAGAGATTGCCGATTCAGAGGGATTTTTTATTTTCAACCAAATTTTCAACCATAAATTAATATTAATATTGGGTTAACATTGAGCCATTTTGTGTATAAATTATTTCAACAAGAAATAATTTTTTATTTTAAAAAATTGATTTTTTAAAATAAGTGTTAATTTTTATTTCTTGTTATGAAATGTTACGAAAAATTCTTGCATGACGTCACGTGACTTTTCTTGCTTCTTATTTATACCCAATAGAATGTAAATATTTTAACATTTCAAGGTGACCATTTTCAGCAGCTTTATCTATTGCATCTTTTGTTCCTTTATACCCTAATTCATGTAAATATTTTAACATTTCAAGGTGACCATTTTCAGCAGCTTTATCTATTGCATCTTTTGTTCCTTTATACCCTAATTCATGTAAATATTTTAACATTTCAAGGTGACCATTTCGAGCAGCTTTATCTATTGCATCTTCTGTACCTTTATATCCTAATTCATGTAAATATTTTAATATTTCAAGGTGACCATTTTTAGCAACACAATCAATTGTCCAATCATAACATTCATACCCTAATTCATGTAAATATTTTAATATTTCAAAGTGGTTATTTATAGCAGCATAACTAATTGCTAATTTATCAACTTTATATCCAATTTCAAGTAAATATTTTACTACTTCAAAGTGACCGTTTATAGCAGCAGAACTAATTGCACATTTTTCATATTTATACTTAAATTTATATAATTGTTGCTCTAATTCAAAGTCATAATTTTCAGTAGCATAATTAATTGCTAATTCTTCATAATAATACTTTAATTTATGCAAATATTTTACTTGTTCAAGGTTACCATTTTCTATAGCGCGAATAATTGCTTTTAATATTTTAATAACATTATTTTTATTTTTTTTTTTTTTTCTTCGTCTTCCATTCTTTTTTATATACACAAGAAAATTATTTAATTCATTTTCAATTTTTTTTATTTTCAATGCGCATGCGTTGGGATTTACTTAAGCATAGTAGCGCTTATGCGTAGTAGTAGCATTGGTTTGCTTTATCACTACTAGAATTTATAGTCACTTTGTATATCCAATAGAACGTAAATATTTAATTACTTCAAGATTTCCGCTTTTAACAACACAATTAAATTCATATTTTGAAGCTTTATACCCTAATTCATGTAAATATTTTAACATTTCAAGATTTCCATTT